AACAAAGAGTGAGTGAATGAGTTTGGTTTAAGACGCTTTTAACATTATTCCAGTTATATCGCGGCGTGTCAGCTTAATGTGGGAGGAAAGCCCGAAGTGATGCAGGTCTCAGAAGTTTACCACTTCGGTGAAACCCACGAGCACGGGTATGGTGCTGACAAACCTACAAACATAATTGGGGCGAACCGGGATATGAACCCACAATCATAGGTTTCTGGCGTGCCCAAGGGACGCAACTCTGCACAGCGTATCCCGGCGCACTTCACCCTGCTGCAGTACATGACCTTTTGTCATATTATCCATAATTTTGCCTATATGGAGGCTTGAAGGGACATACAATATTGAAACTCTTTGAAAATGCACATTCCATTTTTTTGGAATATTTGGAAGATTACGACAGAAATCAAATTAAATTGTTCCGTGTGTGTGGGTTTCCATCTCATTTTAAGTGTTTGGAGAGGGACTTTAGCACAAAAACACATCTTTTCTGATTTCAAGTTAAAGTTGATTATAAGTTTTAAAAGTGCTTAAGTACATACTAAGACGTTTTTAAAACTCTGCTGACAAGCCAACCCATAGCGCATTGCATTATGACTTCAAGGGTTACTCTTAGAGTTAGCTCCCTTACCCAAAGGTACGCGCATAAACTCTGGTTCTGGCTCCAAAGACAATTTTTAAAATGTCTTGAATATTCTGCTGATTTTCTACAAAACAGGTGTTAGATCCCTGTTCAGATGTCTATATGAATTAATTAGTGCAATATGTGCTACTAGCCCGAACTAAGTCCTCGGCATCAATTTCAGTAGAGCTTAGTGTTTTCATGTGGACTATTATTAGCCAATATAACAACACTAAACAGCATTGAAAATTTTTCAATACATTGTATATTTATATACTTATCCTATCTCACACTATGCATTTCTTCTTTCTTCTTTTGATCCCATGGAGAAACGTGCTGGAACAAAGTTTCCAGCTTCTAAAACCAATTCACCCGAACACACCCAGCATCACCATAGTCACTACCCAAACAAATGGGTCATGCATGTACGCCTTGTGTATAGCGACCTACATGACCTGATCATGTGCTTATCCCCGCTACATCATTCTGTTCCTAATCGCCACTGGGAGGTGACATGCTTTTCAGTGAGAGAAATTAGTTGTTATTTTTTTTGCATCCAACAATCTTCCGAAACACATTTCCAAATAGGACTGTAAGAAGTTATGCATAGTGTGAGATAGGATAAGCATACATTTTTTTACTAGACTAGGGCTTAATACCAGTGGCTGAAGACACAGTCTGTTAGTGAGTGAGTTGAGCTATACTCCTATTCAAACAGTATTTCAGTTATATCATGGCGTGTCATCAAAGGCTGAAGAATCAGAATCCGTAATTGAAATATGAGGCGGAATTATTATCAGCAAATATGTGCACAGCCAAGACTTCTTCACCGGGAATTACGTCACCTGAACAACAAGGTCGAGCCACCAAGCTCAAGGATTGGTCACAATAAGGTTTCTCTAATTTGTAGTTTATAATAAGACCCTGAAGGTTTACACACCACAGATAAGAGCACATGCAAGTATCGTGATACATATCGGATCGTGAGTAAGGTATCGTGATACGTATCTGATCGCACAGTTGGTGTATCGTCCCAGCCCTAGTAGTGGTTCTGCAGAACCTGCTTACATTTAGACCAAGCTAGTCATAATTAAAATTTATATATATTCATAGAGAGACATATTGCAAAGAAGAGTCAATGTTAGTTAATGTAATTAGACTTTTGGAAACAAATTTGTATTACTAGGGGGATTATGGACAGACAATGTAATAGTCAAGGTGTGGGTGGATGCATGGATTATTGGCAGAGCATGTCTAAAGTACACAATTTATGGATAACAAGTTTTTTAACTACTTTAAAGGCTTTACAGTAATCAAAGAAGATGTTATCCCTAAATTGTGTCCACTATGTCATCCTTCTAAGAAATGCCTATCAAACAATTCCTGTTTAATGTCCCTGATCCAAGAAACACAACATTTTCATGGAAAAGAATCAATCTTTAGATTTATGCTTTTTCAGGACATCTTTATTTTTGCACAATGAAAGGCAAACAATTCCCAGAATATCAATTAGTAAATTGCCAGTCAAAAGACAATAATCTCTATAACTACCCGTACACATGGATGTGCATATACACTCTCCTACAATTTTTCCTTATTATTCTATCACACTCAACATGCTCAAGGCACAAGCAGTACTGCCTTAATTCAGATGCCATGTTATTAACTTTAACTGGCTTCAGTCGTCAAAATAATTATAGACCAATGGTTATTGTAACTCTCATATGTCCTCATAGATTTACTACAACTGGAGTGAGTGAGTGAGTATGGTTTTACGCTGCTTTTAGCAATATTCCAGCAATATCACAGCGGGGGGACACCAGAAATGGGCATCACACATTGTACCTATGTTGGGAATAGAACCCAGGCCTTTGGCGTGATGAGTGAACGCTTTAACCACTAGGCTACCCGACTGCCCCTATAACTGGAGTGCAAAGGTTACTCTGTGAAAATGGCCCCTTGTACTAGCGACATGATGAAGACACTCACCTAGAGGTTGTTGATATTGATTTCTAAAATTCAGCTACTCTTGCTTCTCAAAGTCTCAATCTGCAGAATGGCATCCACTATCTGATTTTAAATCCAACCTAGCAACACGAACATTATCCAAATCACTTTTCCAGGCCACACCAACCACTTCTCGAGTTACGGATTAGCCTCAATTAGTTTGAAAAAGGAAATTGACTTCAACTCCAATTTTCTCTTGCCTCTCTGGCTTTACATTTTGACAAAAAAAACTGATAAAACAGGAATTTATCTTGTCAGGCATTTGCAAGAAATATGGACAGATTTACAATCTGACAGATGTAACATCTTTAGGTACTGTTAATTGAAGGCAGTCGTGGTACTTTGATTGTACATCATGTTCCCTGATTCAAACTGTAAAGGTATAGTAAAATACATGGACTCACAGTAGTTTCATCAGGCAGCGGATTTACAAACGACAACACACAGGACAGGGACACAGACTAATGTTTTCAAGAGATGTTTTATGTTTTTTGATCAATTGAAACCTGTTATGGCAAAACTATGATTTGCTTTAAACAAGGGAAGCTGTAATGCATGCAGCATACCTTGTTACCAAGCAAACATGAATATCACAACCATCCTTGAAGAAGCACCTGCCAGTTATGTTATTAAACAAAAATACAACTCAACAGTTGCTAAGGGCCACATCCCTGACTAAAGACAATTATGGTCCTAGCAAGTGTTGAGTAGTATGAGAACATTTCTGAAGAAATACTAAGTTATCGAAGAGATTTAAATTTAATTGAGAGAACGAAATTATTCTTTTTCTTACGTTGAAAACAAAGTAGACGGAAGATTGCCTATTGATTTGTTCATGTGATAGAAGCCTTTCTATCCTCCATTACTTATGACAAGAGTCTGTAACTTAATGAGTGAGTGAGTGAGAGTGAGTTGGGTTTAACGCTGTACAGTACTCCAGTTATATCACGGCGTGTCAGCTTCCTGAGGGAGGAAAGCATGTCGTGATGAAGGTCTCAGACATTTACCACTGTTGTGAAACCCACAAGCACAGGTACTGGGCTGACAAACCAAGAAACATAATCAGGGTGAACTTGGATTCGATCCAACAATCACAGGTTTCGGGTGTGCCAAAGGGACACAACTCTGCACAGCGAATTGCCACACCTTAGACAACAGGGTCGCCCGTGCCCCTCAGTAACTTAACGAACATGGAAACAGTATTTTATAGCATATATATGGTCATATACACTTGTCATAACGGCTTGAGCAACTTGTGTAAACAAACTGAATCCCTTAGACATAGAAATTGGCGAGGAGCACTGTCTAAATCTAACGGTCAGTGTCATTGTTTATTGTGAGATTTGTTATATGTCCTGTTTCTTACCATGTACAGTGAAACTGGTATGACAACATACTCCAACATACTCCAATATGTCCCGATAAAAATGCAGCACATATATAATGGGCGCAAGGGCTCTCACATTTTTCGCATTACTCTTATGCCAGTATTAATTTCACGATTTACAGAATTCATGTTACATGGAGCGCACACCCTGAAAACATGCATTTAAAGTAAGCGAGTGAGTTGGGTTTAAAGCCAATAAGAAACATTATTCCAGTTATATCATGGCGTGTCAGCTAACTGTGGGAGCCTGAAGTGATGTCTGTCTAGATTATGTTGACATGTTGACAGTGTCGGGACTTTTCTGTGATTGGTATGCTGATTCTGTAAACCCTAACATAAACAAATGGGGGACAAGAATACAACATGAAAAACTATGAATGAAATGAAAAATAAAAATCACTATATTATTTTAATCTGCCAAATGCAAAATTCCGTGTGTGCTTTTGGGAGGAATACAGGAAGTCTTACAGTAAGTTACACCAACGAGACAACCTCAACTTTCACTGTTCACATGGCAAAATGGTCACAGAACTATTAATTTTTTTTTTTTTATCTAAATCTGAAAAATATTGTTACCACCTAATGCATGTACTGATATGTATTTCTGAAATAAAGATTCATAAAACAAAAAATAACCAAAAGTCTAGCCGAGACAAAGAGCACCCTGGTGACAACAATGAAGTCTCAGATAATCAGCTCCCTCTGTTGTTTGAGACAAAATATTTTATACCCCAAACACATCATTTATGAGAACATCCTGTGAATGGACCTGAGAAAAAAGTATGTTTTTCTTGCACTTTTTGTGAGGCTGTTTTTCAAAGCAATCCAGGCCCACATAATATCAACACATGGTAGGTACTAGTGCTGGGACGGGTAACTCAGGTACCCGGGTCGGGTGGGTACTGAGGAGGACCCGGGTACCCACAGGACTACCTGGACCCGTGGTTAGTCACATGATATATTGTTTAATGACCAAAAATATATTAAAAACTCTATCGTTACACTACAAGTCACTAATGTTCACATTTCTTTCTGACTATGCACCCATTCCTTCTGACTCATATGTTTGAATAAAGATAAAATTTCAGTCAACTTCAGTGTATGCATGACCAAATCCTTTTATATGTGTACCTAAATACATTTTAATAGGATTATGGTCAAACTTTTCCCATTCAGACAGTTTGTACCTGTCTCTTGAGACCTACAGCGGGTACCTGGGTAGGGTTGGAAAATGGGGGGTAGGTACCAGGGTAGTAAATTTGGACTCGTCCCAGCCCTAGTAAGTACCTTAGGCAGGTAGGGGCAGATAGGAGACTAGATATTCTTAGCCTTAAATAAATCAGAGCTCAATAATCAGCAGTTTTTAACCTGTGGCTGAGTGTGGCATCACAATGCCTTTAGCAATATTTGAGTAAAATCAAGGGACATCATAACTGTGTTTTACACACTGTACCCAGTGTAGAATTGAAAGGAGCGTTCAGTTAAACGTCCACATGAAAATCAAATCTACAATTAAGATTTGACAATGATTCTTGTGACATAAATTACTCAAATGAAGTTAAATAACACCTGATTCTTACATATTACTATAGTTAACCGGCCAAAAGTGTTCTTTAATTTCTTTTGAGTAGTATATCATTTGCTTCTTACCACAGAGCAACAAAGACCACTGAGAGTCAACATTCACACAGAAACAACAAAACAAGACTAAGATTAAATAATAACAGCCCCTGGTGAGGATTAAGGCACCTCTCTTCATCACAGATCCACAACAAGTTTTGCCACTCATACTTCAACTACTTCTTCAGCCATGACCATCTGACTGCAAAAATATTCTCTCGTAAAACACAAAATCCAACAATGTCAGTACATCAACATGCAGTGATCACACGTCAAGAGTTCAAACACTGATTATAAACAATTGACATATGACCCCGGTGTGTGATTCTCATCATGAAAGTATCGAAAGTCTGTAACTCCATAAAATGTCAATAATATTTTCCAAAAGAAATTTGCACTGATTATTCTCCTGCAAAAAGTCAGGGTGAACATCCAAAAATCCTCAAGTTATTCAGAACTAATCTGCGTGATGTATTAACAACTCTTTCTTCTGGTGAGTTTTAACACATTCCAAGATGATTATAACCTTGACACAGCTGATGCTCACTTCTGATGCTCACAGATCATATACACATTCGTCACCACTCGCCCCTTTCCGTAACCTGCAAGAAGACTCGTCCCCCTATCGATGAGTGTTATTTGTGAAAATACGACAAACCAATCAGATTGCGAGTATGACTTCAATTACTTCCGCCAAAGAATCCCTCAGGAGTAATGTTTGATTTTACATGCCTTGCATTTAAAAATACACCCAAGCTACATTTAAATGTGTTCAACCAATCTGTATAATAATGTAAGTCCCAATGTGTCTTCAATGGCATCTGGAATATATATGATACATGGGGGAACTATACGAGAATCATTACGTGACGAGTTGACAATTCTTTTACATATGCCCGTTTGCGCTTAGACGGAACCCAGTCGCAAAGATGGCTACGTGAGGGGCACGAGTCGCTATTCGGCTTGTCCCGGAATAACACGAGTTGGTCACGAATGATCATATACACAGCTGACAGTCACAACTGACGACACGGGGTATGCACAGTTCATCCACATCTGGTTAACCACAATTCCATCGACACTCACTTCAGGAAGAATCTGTGTTTGTGAATTGTAAATCCTGTGGCACATATGACAAGAGGTTCCCCCGAGAGAGAACCTCAACTGAGTCAGGTTCAAGAGTATTTCCATGGATTAGGGTCTGGTTTACAACAACACTGATGACTCCATAACCTTATTCCTTGAAGGATGAAATGAACAGATCCCACCCTAGTGCATCTAGACAGTTGACGCGGAATCTTGGCAAGATTGCTCTATTCGTCCTTCCGCTCACTTAAGGTTGAGCACCTCCAACATAAGTGGTTCTATTTCCAGAGGATTCACCTGCAGGAGGACTTTGGCATGCCCATCACTTATTCCCTTGAGCTCATTCAGTTTCTGGGTAATAGCCACGAGGTACTCTTTAGCGTATGTGAACGAAAACACAGACTCCAGATAGTGCTTCAGCAGCACCAGATACTTGTCCTGAATATCGGAAAGAAGCTGATGATCTTTTACATTCGGACCATCAGGATTGAAAATAACGATAATTAGCGCCAGTCCAAACAAAGAAAAGTCATTCTTCATGATCGTTTTAAGAGCACGACAGTATTTTATGTGAGAGTCATGCAATTCGACAAAGCCTGTCGCTTTTTTCAGTATCACTGTAGACACTTCTCCTTTTGTAGTCAGCCATGAATCCCTTTCAACAATGTAAAATGATGCTGATCGCAGAAGGAGTGTACTGAGTACTGCACCTTTCAACGAGGATATTTGGTCCTCCTGGCTAAGGCGTCGAAAATCTTCCAAACGTTTTACGAACTTGATGAGACGTCGGACTGCGACTTCTGAATGGTTGATGAGGTCATTGACAGAGTGATAATTATCTTCCTGCAATGCTGCACTGCTGTTGTGCATGCTCCCAACAGTGGTCTGGTAGGCAATTCCCACCTCAGTCACAAGGGTCTGTTCATTCTCACTGAGCTGCCTATACATAGTTTCATCGGAAGGAAGATCGGAACTGTCCACGGGAACATTAATTTTATCAAAGGTAATGTATTCACTCTTTGAGCATGGAATGTCTGAACTTGAAGGACCCTCCATAGAAGGTGTGGGTGGGGAGTAGATGTTTGAAGACCCAACAGCGCTGGCTTCAAAGTCTGGATCAATCGGCTCGTCCTTTACTATTGTGTGTTGTTGCGTTACCTGCCGTTTTATTCTGTTTTCTGCCACTTTCTCCATCCGAGCCTTCCTCTCTTTGTCATCTGTTAAACACAACATACTTAACATTAGAGGTGTTTGCATTTACTTACAAAAGGACAAGGAGCCCTATCACCACCTTTACCTGAGGTGAGGCGAGATGAAAGGTTTTACGTTGAATCCATGGCCATGACATACCGTATTCGACGTAATTTGCGCCCAGGGCGCTCTCAAAATAAGAAATAGGGGGCTCTCATTAGAATATTATTTTGGTAAAAAAAAAAAAAGAGTTAAGAGATAAATTTCGTTGTTAATGCTGTCAGCCTGAAAAAATTTTTGTACGATAGATATATTTTTCAAAATTAAATGCCCATAATTAAGGGTGCATATAACACACAAGTGCGTATTATACGCGAATAAATAAGTCTTGTGTACATTCATCAATCGGAAGGGGTGCTAATTGGGATTGTTCAGTAGCCTATATCTTAGCAAATGTCGCCATGGGCGCTTATTAGAGCGGGGCGCTTATTACGTCGATTACGGTATATAGTGGCGTGTGTGCGTGCTCTTGTACTAGTCTGGACTGATACCGATTTATAGTGCTACCCCACTGGGATACTATGCCGCAGTTTAACATGAATACCCTACTCAGACACAGTATACTGACTCCGAGCTGACCAGTCCTTGTTTTAGCCCCTTAATGCCGAGTGCCAGACAGGGTAACAACAAGTACCATCTTTTTACGTCTTTTGGTATGATCGAATCCCGGACCTTCCGCTCTCCGGGCAGACGCTCTACCACTAGACCACAGAGGCGGTGTCCTTTACCTGAGGGCTTAAGGTAAAGTGTAAATGTACCACCAGATACTCACAGTCCAAATACATTACTTCCAGACCTTGACCTTAATCAAGACAACTTAAGATCCAACAATTATCCAAGTCTCAGGATAAGATGTGGTAGGTTTTGTACAGATACATGAAAACATAAAGTGTAACGCCTGTAGAGACTTGACCATGTCTCAGAAACTGACAATGTTACAAGTATGTCTTACAATAAGCTGAATGTTGATCTTGACCTTTGTCTTATTGTGCCCCAAACCTCTAAACAGTGTCCCATTCTTGAATAGGTAAATACCAAGTTTAATGACATGCACAAATATGTTTTGAGAATTTTTGATTGGGATTTTTCTATTTCATGACCTTGACCTTGATCTTTGACCATCTCCCTGCACATGCCAAACAAATTCTTCAGGTCCGTGTGGAATAAGACCATTGTACGATATATTCTTAAGTATATAACCTTAAAGTTCCATGCCTGTAGATGCTACCATGCCTTCGAGTGAGTGAGTGAGTGAGTGAGTGAGTGAGTGAGTGAGTTGTGTTTTATGCCCCTTTTAACAGTATTCAAGTTATATCACGGCGTGTAAGCTTAATGTGGGAGGAAAGCCCCAAGTGATGCAGGTCTTAGATGTTTACCACTTCGGTGAAACCCACGAGCACGGGTATGGTGCCGACAAACCTAGATACATAATCGGGGCGAACCGGGATTCGAACCAACAATCATAGGTTTCAGGCGTGCTCAAGGGACGCAACACAGCATATCTAATTGCGGCGGCTTAAACAAAAGGGCCACCTATGCCTTCGAAACTGGCATCTTTACCAAAACCTTTTCAAAGCAGGGAGGCCCGTGAAGATCTGGGGTAGAATAGGTCTTCAGAAAGCTGTGCTTGAGATAAAAGGCGACTATGCCTGTCGTAAGAGGTGGTGGATTGGGTGGTCAGGCTCGCTGACGTGGTCAATGCATGTCATCGATTCCAATTGCGTGGATCAATCGTCATGTTGTCAATCACCAGATTGTCTGGTCCAGACTCGATTACTACCAGACCGCCGTCATATAGCTGGATTATTGCTGAGTGCGGAGTTGATTGAGTGAGTGAGTGAGTATGATTTTATGCTGTTTTCAGAAATGGGTTTGTTGTCCCCATGTGGGGAACTGAATCTGGCATGATGAGCGTGACAGCCAACTTCGGGCCGGTAGTGAACTGTTTTGGCATTGACTGCATGTCTGATTGATATACACCATTATGACATAAATAATTGGCCAATATGAACATTGTCATGACACATGTATGACCATTATTTACTGAAATGACACACAGGAATGATTGATACACCTTGTAATGACACACACATGTATCATCAGTTATATTGATTTAACCTGATGGTATAAGCACAGTAATTGCAGGTCACAACGACCTTCTTGGTAAACTCAAAGGATGAAGCTAAATTTGATAACATTTACATGTTGAATATTACATGTGTTTAAAGCCATGGTGGAAATTAAGAGCCAAATTAAACTAAAGAAAAGGTAAACATTGTAAAACCTTACAGACAGACAGACAGACAGACAGACGTGGAGGGAGACAGTCAGAGGGACAGACGGACAGGCAGGCAGTCAGAGAGACAAACGTGCGTGCAGGCAGGGAGGCAGGAGACAGACAGGTGTGCGGATGGACAGACAGACAGCAAGGGAGAGAGGCAGACAGATGGAAGGGTGGGTGGACCGACAAAAGGGCGTGCAGAGAGACAGACATGCGGGCAGACAGTCAGACAGACAGACACATATTCTAACAAATGACAATATATTCATTATGACAACTGGGACATGAAAACAGTAATGTTTGCCACTTCGGCTATAGTCCGCCAGGTCACGTGATCACCCTAGGTTCTTATCATGTGCACATACTGTCACAATCTTCCTAAACATGACAAGTAGGTCAGTCCGATACTGTGCAGTTATATCTTTCTAAATGTAAGCCAGCAATAGCTGTGTCAACTTGACCTTCTTCCCCGTGTTGCAGTAATTGTTTCACAATCTTCTCACCAGGCATCTTTGTTCTCCATGCTAGAATCAATAGCCTCACGTTTCTCAACATCGTTGGCAACATTGTAACAATCAACAAAACTTTAATGAAGTTGCCTCATATTATCATGTTTATATCCTACATGGAACCTTTGAACTTTAAAGAATGTACATGAAATTGATCTTTCGTGGTTTTTATGCGAAATGGTTTCTGTGTTTATGATGCCATAAAGAATATCGCCCGCAGTTTAACCATGATGCAACACGAGATATAGGCTTGGAATACTTCCATGTTTCTTGTCTAGCGTTTCAGTCAGAAGAATATTATTTTTCAATTACAAATATGTGCACACACATTTCCCTCCACTACACAGAGGAGGGGTACGAATTCCCAAGAACATGACATTTGTGTAACATGCTGCAAGAACTCTTCGAGTGCAGATATTGGTCTTTGATGTGTTTGTTTGTTTGTTTGTTTGTTTAACGCCGCACTCAGCAATATTCTAGCCATATGACAGTCTGTAAATAATTGAGTCTGGACCAGACAATCCAGTGATTGAAATCATGAGCATCGATCCATGCAATTGGGATACGATGACATGCTTCAACCAATTTCGTGAGCCTGACCACCCGTTAGTTGCCTTTTACGACAAGCACAGTCGCCTTTTACAGCAAGCATGGGTTGCTGAAGACCAATTCTACCCCAGACCTTCACAGGTCTTTGATGTGAACATTTAATGATGCGTCGAGTGTTTTCGCTGTCTATTCCTAAGAATCTGTTTTTGTGATAACTCTGCCAGGGATTGATATTTTCTTTGACTTTTATTTCGCCAATTTCTTTGTCTGATCATTTCTTTCCATAATCATACCAGTCCCACCAAGTGTCTTCCTTACCTAATATCATGTCACTCTTCATTCCTATGTCAAAGCACTTTTTTAATCGACAGTATGGACAGAACCGTCTTGTCCTCACATCAATGGCACAGTCTCCTTGAAAAAGGCACTTCACTTTCTGAAACGATAAAAAACAAAAGATGTGACTGAAAGCACTGTGAATATTTCCTAACATGAAATGCACGATGAGTTTTCTGTGAATGTACTTTTATCACTGCAATCTGTCTGTAGAAGTACAAAACGGAGTGGCCTTGACATTATCAGTGATATTCACAGTTTCCAGCTGACTCTCTTGTTGACCTCATTGAGCGAAGAAGAAAACTGGAAAGTTTATATTAATCAGAAGTAATACGTCTGTTTGCTAGCAATGTATGGGTACCGGGTAGGATGAGATGGCCATGTGACTGTTCACCTTCTTGAACCTCACAGGCAGCTTGGGTGGTACACCTATTCAACTGAAAACATTCATCTCTGAATTTGAGTGAGTGAGTGTCTGTTTTTTTGTTTAACGCCACACTCAGCAATATTCCAGCTATATGACGGCGGGTCTGTAAAAAATCGACCAGACAATCCAGTGAGTGACATCATGAGCATCGATCCACACAATTGGGATACGATGACATGCATCAACCAAGTCACCTAGCCTGACCACCCGATCCCGTTAGTCGCCTCCTGCGACAAGCATAGTCTCCTTTTACGGCCTTTTAAGACCTATTCTAGCCCGAGTGAGTGAGGTTTTATGCTCCTTTTATCAATATTCCAACAACGTCAGGGTGGAGGAAACCAGAAATGAGCTTCACACATTGTACCAAAATTGGGAATTGAACCTGGGCCTTCAGCATGACGAGCAAACACTTTAACCACTATCCTATAACACATAAAGAATACCCAGAATAACCTACTCATAACCCACAATTACAGATTAATATAAGTGCTGTAATTCTCTTGCCAAAGGCTCATGATTTAACACCATTCATTCTCTTGGGTCTGAGAATTCATAATTCCTCATGGCTCTTTGATCCCTGTGTAGGAGTACTTCCTGTATGGGACAACAACAAGAAGCTGTCACATCTGCATCTGTTTACATAATCAGTAACCATGGTAACATCACACCATGCTTGTCTGGTCCACACCTGCACCTTGTCTTCAGGCTGCTGTGATAATTCTAGAAAACATTGGCCTACTTCATCAAATAGCAATGGTGCATCATTGTTACGTGTGAGCTTCTGTCACATGCAGTGATAATTAGTGCTGTTACCATGGTTATGATTCACTCGCATATTCGGTGAATCAAACTGTATCCCTTAATGAATTAAATTCATTATTCGTGGTCACTTGAATCAAATATTTACAAAAACATATAAAAAATTGCAACCATGAATATGCAGTCATGTGCAATTACATATGCTGTGCTTAAAGATATCCATAAAAATCGAACAATAGTTTATCATTGTTAATAATTCTAAGAATACTACCGCTATTACATATCTGCCATAAATCCTGTATTCACACAATCACACAATTAGTTAACGCCAAGTAGTCTCGTAACTACCCAAGCCAAGACGTCATAATGGCAGTAACCTCACTTTTTTCCCTCATCTACTACTAGGGGTAGATGAATTGGGGAGGTGGGAGGGAGTAATTTGTATGTAATAGAGGTATTATTCTAAGAATTATTAACAATGATAAACTATTGTTTGATAATTCTTACCAAACTTCTCTCTCTATTACATATCTGCCAGAATATACCCGAGGGAACCCGGTGGGATCTGCCTCTCGTAACTCCCTGTGTAATTGACAGTAATCCTTTTCTTGAAACCATTATGTACTGATTCTCATCCTACTGAGATAACTTCTTCTGAAATCCCCTTGAGGACTTGAAAATCAGAAACTGTGTCAAGAATCAAATATGTGATATTTTCACTAGTTTTACTGTTATATTTGCTGATCAGCCACACTTCTTGCACCAGGGGGTAGAGGGAGACAACATGATGACCTCACAAAATCACCAAACACCAGCTATACTTATGTGCATGTTTGTCTAACCAGCAGCACTATAAATTGATACTTATGAGTCCGTTGTTATAGAAAACTTATCAGAATAATCTTAGGTCAATGTGACTTACTTCCAAGTGCTAGATTGTTACTACTATTATAGTAGGTGTTAACTCTAGCACATACAGAAAATGTGTAATGGCCGCCATTATTATGTCTTGGCTTGGGTAGTTACGAGACTACTTGGCGACAACTAATTGTGTGATTGACAGTAAAGAGGACGTCTGTTGAAAATCTAAAAAAAATAAGTAAGCGCGATTGAAGCAAAAATAGAGGATTTATGGGAGATTTTTAATAGAGGTAGAGGTTTCGTAAGAATTACTTGTTATAAGCATAGATTTCTTAATTTGACAATAATGTGGTCATTGTTCATTGTAACCTGGATAAGTGCAGTATATGAATGTATAATATGTAAATAATTAACACTGTAAACATGATCAAACCATGTCAAAATAATTATTTTGTTATTATTTCAATGAATATAATAAATAATACATCAACTGCTGACTTGTTATTGTATTCGTGAATTAATATTGACACAGCCATGAAATTAAGCATAAAAATAACAGCATGAATTGTGTACTGGATTTCATGAATGACCGGGCAATGTCATTCTAATCAGATATCAGTTCTCCCTACAGCTAAACAAAGATCTGAGGACATCCCATTACTGGTCATGTCAGAACGACATGAGAAACTCAAGGCATGTGTTATACATGTTATAAGATACATGATATTTGGTCACGTAATACTATACTACCACTAATAATCACTGGGTAATCTGAATATCAAGATGGGAACTGAATTCACTGTGACTTTGTCTTGCAAATAGTATCTAAAATTAGCATGAAATTTATGCACAGTATCTCAAGTTGTTTTTATTTGAGAAATGTTTGTTTGTGTGTTGTTTAACACCACACTCAGAAGTATTCCAGCAACATGATGATAGGCCTGTAAATAACCTAGTCTGTGCCAGACAATCCAGTGATCAATATTGTGAGCAACGATCCACACCAGTGCGGCACAATGCAATCAACCAAGTCGCCGAACCAGATCACCCAATTCATTAAGTCGTCTCTTACAACCAACATAGGTTGCAGGGGACCCAGAGGGGGGTTTGAGCATTGTAACATCCTATACCGTATTCGACGTAATAAGCGCCCCGCTCTAATAAGCGCCCACGGCGATATTTGCTAATATATTGGCATGTAAAAAATCCCAATTAGCACCCCTTCCGACTGATCAATGTAAACAAGACTTATTTATTCGGTATACTACGCACTCCTGTGTTATATGCACCATTAAATTAAATTCTGGAAAAATATATCCGCCGTACATAAACATTTCAGGCTGTCAGCATAAACCACGAAATTTATCTTTCAACTGTTTTTTTTCACTAAAATAATATTTAAATAAGAGCCCCCCTATTTCTAATTTTGAGAGCGCCCTGGGCACTTATTACATCAAATACGGTATCTGCGTATTCCTAACTACAGTTGAATACATTACAACCCCTCTGCTGTGTCTCTCTCTCGCCTGAGTGACCACATACAAGGAAGAGGACCAAGGGTCAGGTGCTTCAAAAATGGGGAGGGATGATGTGTCATCTGTGATTAAAACTGGAGCCTGGAGGACGTAGCTCACCAGATGTTCACACATTTGAGTAAGATAAACATTGTGTGTCAGCATAATCAAACACAGACAAAAGGAATGGTTTAATACTTTATAAATTGTAAATTTCATAATACATTATACAGTTAAAAACTTCTCCTATCTCACACTATGCATTTCTTCTTCACAGCCCGATCCTTCAGTGGAAACGATGCTTGAACCCGTTTCCAAGCTTCAAAAACACCTCATCCAAACCCATCCTATCCGTAACCATGGTTACTAATATCACCACTAGCTGTTGCAACGCATGGACCTTGTCCTGCTTGACCTGCTCTTCGAAACTCATTCTCTTGCGAAAATCATTAACAGGCTTGTGTAACTGATGAGGGGATGGTTGGATGATTAGTTTTCAGTGCGAGATCGTATATAAATATACAATTTATGACTGAATTTACAAATTTTCAAACATATGCATATACAATTTTTTATCCCACGGTTTTAAGGTTGGGCGCACATCCCCAAGCCTGAAACAGACCTGAACCATCACACGCACACAAGGAAGCTTGTCCTAGAACTCAGATCCATCATCATGTCACCTAGGCCCACACAAGACAAACCTCTGGCCCACCCTTGTCCTTCTGTAACTGAGCATGAATCAATGTTAGAGAGAGAGGACTCATATTCAACTCAAGGTCCAGAAGATGAAACCAAAACAGCCGGGACACACGCTGCTAACACCTGTCCATGAATATCCCACAAAAAAGTAATTTCTCATTTCAAATGTTGTCCCAGTGCACTTTTCTTCAAACAAATGAACATAAACTCAGTTTGTCTTCCTCAGGTGTCTGAACCCACCACTGAACCCATCATTGTGTCCACCTGGTCTACTTCCTGACCAGCCTAACCTTGTTCCCTGTCCATAAAACCTAGCCAAGTAGTTTATTTGTTTCTGAAAGCTTTGTTATCTACTAGGGCACATGAAATGTCCAACATTAAACGTTTAACCACCACAAAGACTTCATATCTTTTAATGCCATAGTAATAGAATGGCATCGATGTTACACACACAGCTTGCTGGGCCTATGGAAGGGACCTACATGGGGTATGTAGCTATGGCCAGACAGGTTACCCCCCGGTATATATTTTTATTCATTTTTTCAAAATTAATTTTAGGATCCGTCATCAAATAATAAAAAGACACCACACTCGCGTGAATTGGATTTGAATAAACGTGTTGCCATTTAAACTGTTCTTTAATCATATGTGCCTGACATTGTTGTACTGATTTTAAGTGTGTTGGATCAAGCCATATTTTCATTCAATTTACAAAAATTGTTGTTGTTTTTTGTCAAGATGCCAGTTTATTTCATTCAAAGTTTTAAACACACAAAGATAAGTCCAGAAAGAAAAAATAAATTTTGAAATGTTATTTTTACTTTCCCAGTTGCATAT